ATGGTACTCCGCCCTGTCAATTATAGAGAACGAACCACACACTTCCTACCTTACCGTCTTTTGATTCACCCCCTTCTGAGTCAAGCCTCGGATATAGAATCCGTACCCATCCTTTCACTCTCTGTCATCGTACCCAAATAACTACTAATCATGCACCAAATCTCAGGACGTCAGGGCCCAAACATCGCGACCTAAACTCCGCTGGAGGAATAGCAGATGCTGAATATATTCTTCACTACTGATACATCCTCGACTTCGAATTTTCCAACGTGTGAACAAAAAGATGACGGTAAGAAATGGTGGCGACAGTCCACAACTTCGAGTGACAGGATGAAAAAAGTTCTTCGTGTAATGCTATGATTCTACACAGCCTTTGATAAGATTGCAGCACTTGCTTTTCTTCCATTTCAATCATAATTTTGGGAGCACGTTTGCTGGATTGAGTTCGAGGTGATCAATACCGCTGAGCGTGCTTGCACGTCCCTTGGAGATGTGGTGTTGTTAAAGAGATCCCCGAAGATACTCCACGTACTGATCTCAACGGTACATCTTCAGATAACGAAGAGAAAACTGACAATATTGGTTGACTTCTACTCTCAGATGATAATATGACATCGATGAGTGGACGGACCATATGTATATGCCATCGAACCACGTTAAAATTACAATCGAAACATCGTCCTTCGATCTCATCGTATTCTACGCTTCGAGAAACTATTTAGAACCTTTCTTTCCTTCCAGATCGACCCACCGTCACCACTACATCATAATTCTCAAAACCCATCCGTCTATAAATAACCATATCAAATGAAGATCACCTCCAAGCCATCCATGATATAAAATAATCTACCAAGAATTCTCATTTCACGATAATGATTATGAACCCCTAGAGAAAAAAAGAGGACCAACTAAGATTCCTATCCTTTTCGCAATTCAATTATTTTTTAACTCTCGTGTAAAAGATCCTTCTCTCACAATGATCATGTCAGCAACTTTTACATTCCCTACCTACCTAGGTACCTAAATACCTAAATACCTAAATACATACATATATACACATAAACTTTCAATATAATAAACTCCAACCAACCAACTCTGACTCCCGTACCCAATTCCCAAATCCGCACATCCCAATTTCCCAATCCCAAAGCTCGCTTCCAGATTATTTCTTCGCGAGAGAATCCCTCTAGAATCCCTCTAGAATCCCTTCCCTCCCTCGTCCCCAGAACCGCAGATCCTCATATCGATAATGCCAGATCGACGTTATCAGTCCGTATAGTACACTTTCCATCTCTTTACGATATACAAATACAAGCCCAGCTAATCCTTGTTACCTTCACAAACTTCGCTCGTGGCATCTTTACCGTAGATTGTGTAGAGTATTCTGGAACATTTCATCTAAACTTTCTCACTCCACCTGTCAAGTCAAGCAGTCAAGTCAAGTCAAATCAAGTCAATCAAGTCAAGTGAAGTCAAAGCAAGCAAGTTAGAAACCCTCTCTCTCACATGAAACTCCCTAGATTCGCAAGCTGCCAAACAACCCACCCACCACTTCGAAAAGACACACAACGATTCCCATCACCGCGCCCAAACCCCACCTAACCCAGACCGAGTCCAAAAATGCGGATAAGGCTGTGTCTCCCCTCATAATACAGTATACAATACTCAAAGGAGTAATATCCGCGCATCAAACTGCACCTTATTCACACATTCATCAATTCATTCATGCGAAGCGAAGATAAACCATCGGCGCCATGTTTCGCATTGCTCGAAGTGCATACAACCACCGTACACATACATACCTAGATACATACCCGATTTACTTGCTCAAACCATCTGTGCACGGATGAAAAACAGGGGAAAGGAATTATCTTTAGAAAGAAAGTCTCCTCGGATTAATCTGAAGATTGATGCGCGTGTTTTAGATTTTTTTTTTCGTTTGGGGAGGGAAGGAGGGGGTTTTGATGTGTGTGATGTGATGTGGTGGATGGGGATCTTGGATTTTCAATCTGCAAATTCCGATTTCGATTTCGATTTAGTATTTTATCTTGTTTTATTCTAATTCCCAAGGGTTGTTTCGAAAGATGGATGATAATATAGAAAATGATTCTAGGAAAGAACAAGATTACCATTGTGATACCACAATCTATGATATGACCTATTTGTCTATTTATAGACTCTCCTTCCACCTACCCACAAGTCCAAAGACCCGAAGTTTCTCGTCGTCATAACTACATACGTACTCCCATCACGAGTTTCGTGTATTTGATTAGATGATAGATTTCTGTTTCTCTTTCTGTTTCTCTTCAATCTCTATGGAGTGTGTGTGCAGAAATGCCATTTTATACCTAGGTACCATATGAATACAAATCATACCACAGCAATTATAGAAGATATAAATAAACACTCATAAACATCCATCCATCCAGGCTTCTTGGCAGGGAACCAGGAGTACGGGTGAGAGGGAAGTGTAGATCGCTGTCATTATGTCTAAGACGGGGAGCAGATCAGGGTCTCGCATTTGTGAGTCCCAGCACTTGATCTGAGGATTAGTCAGTCGGTCAGTATTCAGGAGTAGGAGTTGGTGGTAGGGGAGGGAGGGAGGTACTCGGGGCAGGAGTGAAATTATGAAGAGCTCGTGCTTGGAAGCTCGAAGAGGAAAGTAAACGATTGGTCTGGGGATCTTCACGTGTGTAGTGAGTAGGTACATTTGTAAAGGTTTTGTTCTCTACAAAAAGATGAAGAATTTCTTTTGGGTAGATAATCATACGATATACACAAGGTACCTCCTACCGACCTACCGACAGAAATCCAGACGACCTGTATGCGACCATCCAATAATCAATAGAGTGGTTCATCACAACGCGAGCTCAAAAATTTGTACATTCAAATACCGAATAAGTCCACCAAGCGTGATACCCAAGTACCATTTCCCATCTCGGATTGGAGGCTCTAAGCGCTGGTGGGTGGGCAAATGCATGTGGAATGGACGATGAAAAACATGTAAGCGGGATTGATTGGCTGTGAAGCATTGGTGTTCGCGGAAGATTTGATGCGGGATTATGATATGGTGCGGTGCTACCCCTGATGAGATGCATTGGCCTCGCGCTTTTTGATGCACTTGCTGAGAAAGCAATGGGTGGATGATTTGATGGGACACTTTGGTTTGTAGACGCGGGAAGGAAAATTGGATTTAGGAGCGAGAGGCGATGAGCGATGATGAATAGAATTGACAGATCGACAAATACGAGGTCTGGAGTTGTTTCTTTCTTGATTTTTCTGGATGTATTGTGTACATCGATCGTTTCGCGGGAGGCGATGAACTTACTTACTTGCATATTTCGGAAGGGTTCACGGCCCAGGTATCTCGTGAGAAAGTTTGTTCGTGAGCATAAATAGCTTTAGCTTAGGTAACCTGGGTATGGATGTCAAATGCAGTGGAAGATGGCTAGATGCATGTGCATAAAATCTGAACGATTGGGATTGGTAAGAACGCTTCAGCCCTGAGGGGATTGCGGCATCCAATGAAATGATCAGTTTCTTCATTGTGCTGCATGGATAAAAGGTGAAGTGAACAGCCGGAGGATTGGATACTGTAATTGGTGTCTGGCAAGCAGATATTCTGGTCACTGATCACTGGTGGCGGCTTGAACTTGGCGCTGTTTGCGAATGAGCAGATGTAATGCGAAGAATATCCAGAACATCCTAGATCCAACATATGATTGAGGGTGTGATGAAAAAAGGGGACACCGGGAGGGAGTAGTAATTCTCAAGGAAGAATGATAACCTTAATTCGAATAATTTCCTACCTACATAAATTTTGCATTTATCCCGAACAAAGTTATTGTTACCAAGAAAGTTACCAAGATGTGAGATCTTACCATGTAAGAGAAGAGCAGTGATTCAAACTTCACCACACTAATCCCGAGCTCTGTAACTTGGGTAAAAACACATGGATTAGATTAGATGTTTTGAAACAGCACTCTCAAATCGTTGATCACATGCGTCGTCGTGATGCTTCGTGTACATTGTGAATGTGGAGAAGGGGGACCAGCTTTTCAGGCTCGACATACCATTTAGCCTTGATTACAGGCTTTACTCTTTTGATACTCCGTTAAGCGTCCTTGTTTTTACTCAGATAGATTGGATTTTCACGATTTGCAAGACGTTTGCAATATATCTTCTCAAGCACTGCTCAGTTCTAGGCTCCGTGATGGATAATCCGGAGAGGCTTTGCAAGATAGTGTCATCACAATGCGAATCGTAATGATAGATAGATATTAATTTGATAGAGGGATTAGATTGATTTGATTGAGCCGATAGATGCGATTCATCAATGTCACGTACCGGCTGTGAGACCTTGGGCAAAGTAATGCCGTGTACGCAGGAGAGGATCCTCTTCTTTCCAAGGTATCAATCGAGGCCTTTTCGTGTTCCCATTCACAACCAGGAAAGTTTGCAAAAAGTATGACTCCGAAGATGTGTGTGTATCCACCATCACGCAAGATTGTGGCACAGTACGCCGAACGGTATAGCCAAATCTCCTGGTTGGGAATCGAGGTGGATGTAGCAGTTCGAAAATTGATTACATTTATGGATTGGGAGACTTAGCCACGCGATATGTACGCGTTGTGCTTGTGCTGGGGTGGAGACGTGAAGTTATGGTGCTGAGTTTTTATATACACACACATAGATGAACGATTAGGTGAGATGAGATGTTGAGCCTTCTAGGTCAAGTCTTGCTCGAGGTGCTCATTTAGTTAGGGGAAGCTTGTGTTTGAGAGCTTGCAGTGGCTAGAAATAGTTAAGATTTAGGTTCATCACAAGTTCAAGCACCATTTGAAATTTATGCAATAGGCTTCGTCCCCTTGATTCCACTTCATCGGTCCCGTCAAACGGTCGAAGGGCTCGAAGGATTTTCCCTTCCAACCTTGAAACTTTACCACCCTTTTTAAATCATCTACTTCGTACCCGTTGTACCCGTACGTGCGGTACTCGTTCTAGTCATAATGAGCCACTTCTCGTGCGCGGTTCTTTGCACTATTGAACCATTTCACGGTATCTTCGGCTGGTGCTCTCGTTTCTCCTCTTGTCTTCGTCTTGAAAAGTTGGCTCCAGCAGTTTGAAAAATCAACTCACTTGCAAGAAACTATTGCAACCAATTAATAGAAGTGGAACCTGTCAATATGGTTTTCGTGGCACCAGGTATCTTAGATGATCATGTCAACAAAAAAGGATCTGAATGATTCCCCTTTGGTATCTAGCCCGTTTAAATTAGATGTCTAGAAAAGTACCATTGCAACCAATTTTCTTAGCTAAAGTTAGCTTAACGAGGCTTTTCCCTCCCTCGCTCATCGAACACCAATATTCATGCCAATCAAACCTTCGAGACTCGATTTCGATTTCCATTTCGATTTTCAAATGTCGAGTAACTTTTCCCTTACTTCCCACCACACCGCCCTTTCCATCGTTCTTCACCAAATCGAATCTAATTCTGCGTTTCTTCCAACCCGCCATATCGCATCAATTCCACACCACCTCCATTAAAGAGAGACGAACAAGAGCTTGATAAGACTTTCATCACTCACACTAACAAAATCTGCGACAAAGAGTACACGGAAGATTCCCCCACATCAGCTCTTTCTTTAAATTAAAAATCACAGTGGTCCCTGGGAATAATCCCTAAGCATGACAAGGTATCTTTGTTGATCAAACCTACTAAGAGATCATCCATGCTCACTCTAGAGCAAAGACTTTTTCGCTACTTTCGGATTTTCTGGATAGCTTGACTGACCCAATGAGGAAGAGTGGATGTAAAAAAAAGATCAAGATGTAACCAGAGTCTACCCTGTTACACCATCTTTAACTTTGGTGAAGGGGGACCTGTCGAGCGTTCATTGGGATATGTAGATGGAGATGCAAGTTTAAGAAAATAGGTAAACCTAGTCGATATCTCGTCTCGCTCATTGGAACGCCTCTTTTTGCCTTCCACATGAGAGGACTAATTCGTTAATCTCATTCGCTCAATGGAGACGATCTCATTCATGGCTCGTCGAGCAAGAGGGCAATCTCATTCCTTTCCTGGATTTGGGTATTGGGTATTGGGGGATCTTTGACTCTGGGATTCGAATCTGCAGATACTTTTCATACTTCCCTTATGACCTAGTATCAATAATACATCGCCCTCTCCTATCCGCAGAACTCTCGGTCGATAGATACATAGGGAGATGAAGAAGAACAATCACATATCAAAGTTAACAAGGATTTCTTTCTTTCTTTCTTTCTTTCTTCCTCTCTTCATTAGTGAGGTAGTTGGTTGGGTATTGATATGGCAATACTCTTTTCTTTTTCCCCCCTCGTTCGTTCCATTCCACTCACCTCTTTCGTCTACTGCTATTTGCCTGCCTTCTTCACGCGTTTAAATTGATAAATATACCAGCCATATGTAGACTAACAAAGGATCATTCCGGGTCGTTCTTTATTATTGATTGATAGAGCCCTTTTTTTCTCTTGATTGAAATTCAATTTATTCAAGGCATTATTTTGAATGGAGAATTGGATTCGATTGGTTCATCGTTGCCCTCTTTCTCCATAAAACTATGCTCTTACCTGGCTATTTCCAGTCCAAAATACGCACAGCACTTTTACACTTTTCTGACTTCACTCTTCTTATTTCTCTCTTCTCTTTCCGCGACCTTGACTACCCTTGACCCCGAGGCCCTAGCTACCTAGTAAGAAAGACGAGCTAGGTATACTTCACTTGCATACACTCATCAAGCAGCACCACAAGCACAATAATCCCGCTACTGTACGAAGTACGCACATACCTTCACTCGACCATTCACACTTAAACTCAACTGATTCCTCATCCACCCAACTTCACCATTTCCACCCATCATCCACCCAGACCTTCTCTTATTTCTCCACACTCTTCACACTTGTTCACTCACACACACACACACAAAAACGCATCAATTTCAATTTTATTATTACCATTTTCCTTCTTTCCTCCGAAAAGAATTTAAAGTCCTTCGTCAATCCTTTCAAGTTGAGAAATCCCTTACTTACTTTTTATTTCTTCTCATTCGAGACTTCCTTCTAAATCACACCTTTTTGTTGTCGTTGTCGTCGTCGTCGTCTTCGTCTTTTGACTTTACTTTGAGATATCACTTCCTTCTTCACCTCTTCTTTCTATCAAATAGAGATACTACGTACAACACATTCAATCCCCAAACTCTGTAATATTCCCCCGCAAAAGCGAAATCAACTCATCATCGTCGTCGATACCAGAAGAAGAAGAAGAAGAAAAGAATTAAAAACTTAAGTTTGAGAAGGCCAGGCCATTTTTATCAGTCCGCGACCGAGAAAATACAAACTTATTTACATCCATTGTTCGGATTTTCGGGGTTTTTTTTGTTTACATTGAAGAATCATCAACTCTTTTCTTGGATTCACCCATCAAAAAGTTATCGCTTCAATTACCAAAATTCCTTTGCATCTTCGAGAAGAATCGTTGTGATCAACCTTCATTCTCTCGCACACATTTCATCTCTCATTACGACGAGTTGTTTGTTGCTTGTGTTAAAAGAAAAGGCTTGCCTATTTTTTACACCACCACCTCATCTCACCACACCACATTCGAGCTTCTTTTTACAGAATTACATTTTACAAAGCAAAACAATATAATTACATCGAAACTCCTTCGACTTACGTACAATACGCATTCGATAATATCTTTTTTCGAATCATCTTAATTTATCTAATACAATTCCCGTCTCTTACTCACTCAGGTCGACCTGACAATCCTTACACGATCAATCCATCGACACGAATACATTCTCTTCGATAATTGATCCTTCACGAATCTACGAATCGAACGATTCCTACCTTCACACCAAACTCACAGTACCACTTTCAATTGTATAAACAAAAACATCACAATGGACGCAGGCGGTCTTGCTCAGATGTCTTACAACAACTTCCCTTCCAGCAATGGTTTGGGTATGCCAGTTACTGGTTTCGCTGCTAGAAGAGCTGCTAATGGTTCCAACATCAAACGTCTTTCATTTGAACCCACTGCCAAGACTCTCGATTCTCAAGATAACGGTGCACCAACTCCAAGAACATCTCGTTCTCATTTACTTGCAGGTTTAAGAACTGCACCAAAGTCTGCTACGTCTGCAAACTTTCCATCAACTGCTCCACCGACCCAAGTTCATCACAACACTGGTAACAATGGAATGAACTCGAGCAGATATGCCGATAATGGACCAAAGACTTCAGGATATGCTCCATTCAATCAACAAAACCATCAAATGAATCAACAACAGATGTATTCTGTTCCCGAACAAGTTCTTTCGACTCCCGAGATTCGACTTGATGATGGACATGATGGAATGGATCCAAATTTGTATGCTCAGCTTGTTGCTACCAATTTGTATCTCGCAGAACAACAACAACGTCTTCAACAACAATTGATGAACGTTCAAGCTGCCGCTCAACAAATGAGTTTGAATGGACAATACGCCACCCCACCAATCACCCCACAAAACATGGGAATGTATCAACAGCAGCAAATGAAGCAAAACATGCAACCAATCATCACTCCTGTTCCCGGAGCTCAACCTGGTGTTTACTCTTACTACAACCCCATGACTGGACAACAAACCTATTTCATGGATAACAGTCAACAATATGCCGAGTCACCAGTTGAACAAAGAGTTAGCTATTCTCCACCACAACAACCTGGTACACCAAGATTCCAAGTTTCTCCACCACCACAATCTGATGCACCATCCTTCACACGATCAATCAGTCCACCAAAGAAATCTGCATCGCCACCACAAGACCATGCTCCTTTGCCTCCACCATCTGCTGGTGCTTTCCGTAGAGGACATCGTAGCTCGAAGTCTATGGCTATGTCTATGTCTGGTGAGATTTCTTTGGACGGTCCAAAAACTGCTGGATTACCAAAATCTACTTTCCCAGGTACTCCAACTCAAACCGGATTTGGTCCAGGTGCAGGACGTGCTGGTGAACATCCAGTCAGACAACCACGTGGTCCACCACCTATTGAAGAATTGAAATCTAAACCAACTGCCAAGTTTGAGGGTTCCAAGAACTTTGCCACTCGAACTCGTCGAAGTGCTGTTCACAATCTTGTTCGTGCTGGATTGGAACGTCGAAGAGCACCAGGTAGTGCATCAGGTAGCATGTCACCTGTATCCGAGGATGGTGAGATGTCATTCTCAGTTGATGATAATGATTCGGATTCTGGCCGTAGTGGAAGTGGAAGTCTTTCAGGTCGTCCAAGTCCACCAAGCTCTCGTACATCTCAACATGGTGCCATTGGTTCTAACCGCCCTACTTCAAGACAGAATTCTCTTGAAATCAAGTCAGTCATGTCAGTTGAATCATTCACTGCTGAGAGTGTTTCTGGTGATGAACAAATTGGTGGTAGCTTCGCTGCTGTCTTCAAGAATGCTGGAAAGAAGCCTGAAGTAGCTGCTATTCAAAAGAAAGCACCAATGCTTGTTCTTACTAGCGCTGAGAAACGCAAAAGCTCCATCTTTTAAGATGTTTGAGTAAATCATTTAATGGGTAGATCCTATTTTCTTGATTATCCGATCTCTACTTTAACTTGTCGAACAAAAAGAACAATTTGATATTGCATTCGACATTGTGCATGTTTCGATGCAGGAATCGGGGTTTTCTTGCTTGCAATTGCTAGTTTTTTTGACGAAGATGATGAATACTTTTCGAGAAACAAACTTCTCAATTAATTTTGGAGGAACTTTTTGAGCTTTCAGTCTCAAGGTTGTCCTTCATTCGATATAACAATTTCATTTTTTTTTCTTTCGTTCTGGGGGGTTCTGACTTCTTTCGTGAATTGCATCCAGGGAAATTTTCTTGTACTTTCAATACTAAGAAACTGTTTGACTTTGATGATGCTTCTAAGTTTATTGTCACAAGTACAAAGTTGTCGAAGAAGACTGAAAACTGGATGCTTTTCCGAATGCAAGGGAGGGATTTTCGATCGGTCAGAGGGGAATGCAATGGATTGGGGATATATGTTTGGACTTTTTTGCTCTTTATTCTGATACTGGGGATGGAATGGTTAAATGGAAATTGTGATATGATTATATGCCTGGGTTTATTTTTCTTTTTTTCTCTTTCGAGTTTGGGGGCTATAAGAATATGAACCTGTTGATCAGATTTGGAGGAAATACCAGGCTGGAATATGGGGGACACGGATTGCGGGTTGTGATGGAAAGAATAGGGAAATTCTTGAAATGTTCGAATAGCTGGGGTGGTTGAGACAGGATGGGATTGAGTGAGGATATATTTGTAGCAATATGAAATACCATTCTTTTTGAGATTGTTCTTTCGGTCATTGCTTTGCATGTTTTGTGATGAATTGGTTGTAGATCTGTGATGTCTGTAAGGAGAGGGCGTGTGAGTGAGTAGTTTGACGAATGAATAATATGAGGAATAATACCTAGGTAAACAAGGGGGGT